ATTTTTATATATTTCTGTTTTTTTCAAAATTATTTAAACAAATTATTATTTATTATATATTTTTGAAATTTAATTGATATTGATAAAAATTATTAATTATGCGTTTATTAATATTGTTTATATTATTATTGATCCTTATTATAACATGTACAAAATTTGATTAATATAAAAGAATATTAGATTATATTAATTTGTACATATTTAAGTAAATGCCATTACAATTTTTTACACGTATAAAATCTGTCATATAAACATCAAATTAATTAATATCACACATGATCGTAATAAGAGATATGCAATTATTGGTGTATGTTAAGTATAGTGTTTATGTTAAGTTTTCATAAAATATCACCTGAATATCCTGGAAATTCGATCGTATTCATTTTGAAAGTCATAATATTTTGAGCTGCACCGTTGTTCTGATGAAACTGATACTAGATAGGTAATGTCACGCATACAAAAATTATTATTAAAATTATAGTCCAGTATATCTGTAAATGCTATGTTTAATATTGCAAAGAAGAATTGCAAAGGAAAATTACCTTATTGTCAAAGTTTTCGTATAAAAGCTTATTACAACTTGATAAAGGAAAAGTTTGAATTCAAACTTTTTTTCACATCAAGGATGACTAAGTCTAAAGGTTGCATCTACTTTTTGAAATTTAGTTCTCCATTGAAATTTAATTCTTCACAATTAATAAAATGATGCATATCATTTATCAAAATTTCTCTACATTTCTATATACAAATATTTACTATATAGATGATAAATATAACAATATTGATTTGTGATAAGTCTATAATGCTGAATTAAAAATTTGTTAATTTATTACAAAAGTAAAATTTAATAAAACACACATTGTGACAATATCTTTTATCATTAATTAAGACATTTCTTATTGTAAAATTCTAAAAGGTATTGAATTTTTTACTTAAAAGCAAAAGAAATAGAATAAAATGTTCATCCGACCCTGCTTATTGATTTCGAAACGTACCAGTGTCTATAGGTAAAACATAACGGAAGGCTTAGAGTAGCTATAATACGAGTTTTTTTTCGATTCGTACTACAAAGATGATTTTTATATGTAAGTTAATGTGTGTGATACATAGACATGTAACACTGTATATAACTACATTGTAGAAATTTATACGTTTTATCAAAGATATGTATTCATACTTATGTTTGATAATTGAGATCTAATATCATTTCGCTTATACATACACACACACACAC